AGTAAATGAGTGCAGTTATCTGTACCTGTCAGATTCTGCTGTGTGAAATTGAGTGTAAATATCAAACTGTATCTGTGATTTTATGCTTTGTGATGTGGGAGTGTTATTATCCATTTGTTTCTGTGAGTTTATTATGTGACTATGAGAGTGTAATTCCAAACCTGTCCCTGTCAGCGTCTCCTCTATATATCTAAGAAAGGAATTAATCTGTACCTGCCACTTCTTGCGATGTGAATTTCAGTGTAGATATCAACCAACGCCTAGCAGTTTCAGCTATGAGATTGAGAGTGTTGCTATCAGTCTCTGACTTACAGTTTCTGCTATTTCAATATGAGTTTAGTTATCAATTTGTACCTGTCTGATTCAGCTTTATGAATACATAAATGTAGTTATCATTATGTACCAGTCAGTTTCTGCTAGGTGAATATGTCAATCATTCCTTATCAGTACGTGTGTTGTGAGTATGTGAATGTGATTATCAACTTGTAAACCTGTCAGTTTCTGCTCTGTGAATATGAGTGTGGTGGTTATCATCTGTAGCTGTCAGTTTCTGCCACGTGAATGAACGAGTGTAGTTGTCAACCTGTTCCTGTCAGTTTGAGCTGTGTGTGTCAGTGTAGTTATCCATCTGTATCTGTCAATTTCTACAAGGTGAATGTGAGAGTGTAGTTATCAATATGTACCTGTGAGATTCTGCTCTGTGATTATTTGAGTACAGTTATCAAACTGTACTTGACAGTTTTTTTTTCCTTTGTGAATATGAGAATGTCGTCGTAAGTCTTTACTTGTTAGATTGTAATGTGGGAATGTTCGTATCAGTGTCTGCAAGGTGAGTATACTTATCCATCTGTGCCTGTCATTTTCTGCTATCTGAATGTAAGAGTGCAGGCATCAATCTATGCCTCTCAGTTTCTGCTATGTCAATATGTGAGCTTGGTTTTTCATCTTTACCTGTCAGTTCCTGAGATGAGAATGTGTGGGTGCAGTTATTAACATAACCCCGAGTGTTTCTGCTTGTAAAAATGCAACCATATTCATTAAATTGTACCTGTCATTTTCAGACACGTGAATATGAAAATGTAGTTATCAGTCTGTGACTGTCAGTTTCTGTTCTGTAATTGAGAGAGTGTGCTTATCAATGTGTACCAACCAGTTTCTGTTGTGTGAATATGATTGTCATTATCAATCTGGACCTTGTCAGTTTCTCCCCAGTGAATATTCTTGTGTAATTATCAGACTATACCTGCAAGTTTCTGCTCTGTGAATGATTAATTATTAATTCATTAGTTATTACCCTCTGCCCATCAGTTTCTGGTTTGCTGATGTCTGAGTGCATTTATCAATTTGTACGTGCCAATTTTTGCAATATGAACTTGTGCATACTGTTATCAATCCGTTCCTGTCAGCATCCCTTCTGTTAATATAAAAGTGCAGTTATCAATCTGTTCTGTCACTTTTAGCTCCATGAATTTGAGCGTGTAATTACCAATCCATAACTGTCAGGTTCAGCTATGTGAATGTGAATAGAAAAAGCAATAATCTAATGGTATTATTGCTGGACTATTAATCCAGAGAGCCAGATATTGTTCTGTGGACCCCGGTTCAAATCCCATCATGGCAGATGGTGGAATTTTAATTCAACAATAAACTAAAAATAAGAGTTTACTGCCAATTCTCCACGAAACAAATCTGGTCCTCTAACGTCTTTTTGGGAACAAAATCTGCCATCCTTACCTGGTCTGGCCTACATGTGATTCCAGACCCACAGCAATGTGGTTGGCACTTAACTGCCTTCTGTGCACAATTAGGGATAGTCAGTGACACACACATCCCATGAATGAAAAAAAAAGGAAACATGTGGGAATGCAGTTATCAATCTGTCTCTGCCAGTCTCTGTTTTTTTTAATGTAATGAAAGTTATCATCCTGTACCTGTCAATCTCTGCAATGCCAGTATATGACTGCAGTTATTAATTTGTACCAATTTTTCTCGGTTTACAATGTCAATATGAGAGAATTGATCTGTACCTGTCAGTTTCTGCTATGTGAGTGTATTTATCAAATTGTTCCTGTCAGTTTCTGCTTTGTCAATCTGAGAGTGCAGTTATTAATCTATACCTGTCAGTTTCTGCAAGGTGAATGTAAGAGTTCTGTTATGAACATATATCATCAGATTCTCCTCTGCGAGTATGTGAGAGCAGTTATCATGCTGTCACCATCAACTTGTGCTCTGTAAATCTGAGTGTAGTTATTCATCTGCACTGGTCAGTTTCAGGTTTGCGAATGTGAGTAATTATCATTCTCTCCCCATGTTTCTTTTATTTGAATAAGAGTTTAGTTATCATTCTGTCCTTGTGGAGGAGAGGGAACTTGGGGAAATAAATATGGATGTTTTGAAAACAGTCCACATGACATAACAGGAGGTGTTAGAGGCGGTAAAAAAAACATAAAAGGTGGTTAAATCGCCAGGACCTGATCTAGTTTTTGTAGATTTTCAGGATATCAGGATTTTGTGGGAAGCTGTGTTGATAATTTGAACAAATGACATTGTTTTCTTGCTTTCTTATAATATTTCATAGGTAGGATCATTCCATCCCAGTCACTGATTGCAATATGAATGTGCGACTATGGTTATCAAATCTGTACTCAGTTTCTGCTATGTGAATGTGCAGTTATAAATCTCAGTTTCTGCAATGATAATGAGAGTATAATTATCGGTCTCTGTCAGTTTCTACTATTTCCATATGTGGGTTTAGTTATTAATCACTACCTGTCAGTTTCTGTCATATGAATGTGAGTGTCATCAATCTGTCCCTGACAGTTACTGTAATGCAGGTGGGTGACTATAGTTATCAAGCTGTAGCTCTCCGTTATTGCCATGTGAATGAGTATAGTTGTGCATCTATACCTTCGGTTTCTGATGGTCAGTGCGTGAGTGTAGTTGTCATTTCTGTACCTGTTTGTATTTGCTTGTCAATCTGAGTTTAGTTATCGATCTGTACTTGTCAGATTCTGCTCTGTGAAAATGTCAGATTAGTGATAAAACTGTACCTGTCAATTTAAACAATGTGAAACTGGGAGTTTTATTATTAATCTGTTCCTGTCGGTTTTTGCTATGTGGATAGATTTGTTATCAAACTTTGTCTGTCAGTAACTACCATGTGAACGTCTGAGTCTATTTACCGGTCAGTCCCTGTCATTTTCAGCTCTGTGTATCTGAGTGTGCAGTTATTAATCTGTAACTGACAATCTCTGCTCCGTGACTATTTCAGGGCATTTATCAATCTTTCCCTATCAGCCAGTGAGTGTGCTGTGAATATGTGAATGTGCTTAGCAATTTGGACTTACCAGCTCTGGTATAGATATATAAATAGCAATTTCTCCTTGTCAGTTTCTGATGTATGTGTTTATGAGTATAGTTAGCAATATGTACATATATGTTTCTACAACATGAATAAGAGTACAGATATCACTCTTTCTCTGTATGTTTCTATTCTGTGAATATCTAAGTATAGTTATCAATCTGTACATGCCAGCTACTGCTTTGTGAATCTGTGAATTTAGTTATCAATCCATGCCTGTCAGTTTCTGCTTCGAGAATGTACGAGTGCAGTTATCAACCCGTACCTGTCAGTTTTTGCTCCATGCATTTGTTTTGTGT